TGATCTCCTTCTTCCTCTTCTGTAAACTTTCTTTCAACACATTCAAATCTTCCAACCTACAACCCAACTTCTCTATAAATTCAGCTAGCAAGTCTTCTCTCACCGAGTCCTCCACCCCTACCCTTCCTACAGAAACCCCTCCATCTCTGCCCATCTGCTCGTTCTTCCTCTCCCCTGGTCCCACCTTTGTTCTTTCCTCTCCATCCAACCTCCCTTTCCTATTACTTCCCTCCTTCCCTGTTCCTTTCCATCCATCTCTACCCTCAAACCTTTCCCTCCTCTCCACTAGCCCCTCCCCTCTTCCTTCCTCACCTTCCCTCCAACTCAATCTTCCTTCCTCATCTTACAAGTAGCCAACTTACTAAAGGCATACTTGTCTTTGTACTCTGTTTTTATTTGAGTATATAAGTTAATAAAAGGGAAGGCCAAAACCTAATTTTGTCTTCTTCCACTCTCTTCAATCTCTTTCCTCTTTCTTTCTCTACATAAACCTTCTCTACTCTTTCTTTTCTTCTTTCTTTCACAGTTTTTATATCAAAACAAATGTTCTGAACTTTTCTACTTTCCATATTGACCCACTATACAACTTTTGTCAAATTCACCTTTAGATTGGAGATAAGCTCAAAAAGTTGGATTGTCAACTTAAGGTTTCTGACCCAAGTTCTATTTTCTTCTTCACAGAATAATAAAGTGTCATTGGCAAATTGTAAATGTGTAATTGGGAATCTCATTGTCCAAATTTCCAACCCCTCACTAAGCCTTGTGAATCTGCCCTAGAAATTAACTTTCCAAGAAATTCAGCAATAAGGGTAAAAAAGAAGGGAGACATAGGGTCTCCTTGCCTAATTCGGTTGGAAACAAATCTACCACTGTTCCATTCACCAACAGGGAGTAATGATAGGTCCTTAAAACACCCTCGTATCCACTTGCGCCATCTCTCTCCAAAATAAAAAATTCTTAAGATTTCCAATAGGAATGGCCAATCCACCATATCATAAGCTTTCTCAAAATCCAATTTACAGACAAATCCTTTCTTTCCTTCTCTTCTATAATCCTCCACACATTCATTCGCAATTAGAATTTGATCAGTTATTTTTCTACCCTGAACAAAAACACCCTGATTTGGAGAGATAATATCGGGAAGGGCAGCCTTAATCCTCAAAGGCAAACCTTAGCTATAATTTTGTAAAGACTGTTCACCAAGCTTATGGGTCTAAAATCACGAGGATGAGTAGCATCACTTTTCTTAGGTATTAGGGCAATGAAGGTGGAATTTAGTCTGGGATTGATTACTCCCCTTTCAAAGAATTCATCAAACACTTCCACTACCTCTTCTTTTAGAATATCCCAACAATCCTGATAGAAAGGCATTCGTAAACCCATCCGGTCTAGGGGCTTTACATATGTTCATAGTGAATACTGCCTCTCTAATTTCCTCCATCTCAAACTTTCTCTCCATCCATCTCTTAGTTTCCTTTGGAATCCTAGGCGACTCAAGCCCCTCAAGCCACACTCTTTCATTTAAGGGTTTTCTATAAATTGATCTAAAATGTTCTTTAAAAGCTCTAGCTATTTCATTTTGGTGTGTCAAAGGTACCCCATTCACCTCTAACTTGGAAGTGAAATTCCTCCTTTTTCTTTCTATTGCCATCACATGGAAAAATTTAGTGTTCCTATCACCCTCCTTGATCCATTGATGCCTTGATTTCTGCCTCCAACTTATCTCCCACCCTTTAGTTGTTTCCTCAGTGACCATCTCATTTCCTTATCTCCTTCCTCAAAATTGTTCCCCTCCTCTTTCTTATCTAACTCTTCAGTTTGGTTGATCAAAGACTACTTCCTCTCCTCAATTCTCCCAAACTCAAAAATATTCCATTCCTTAATCTTGGATTTTAAGTCTTGTAGCTTCCTATGAAATCTTATACCTTTCCATTCTACCCTTGGGTTGTTCTCCCCCCACCAATCTCTAATCTTTTGAATAAAACCCGGATGACATGGCCACATGTCTTCAAAGCAAAAGGGGGCAGGCCCTCGACCACCAAGATCCTCCTTAGAGATAGAGATAGGCCAATGGTCCGAAGTTAGTCTAGGCAATGCTCTAGATACTAGACCACCCCAGTGCTCTTCCGAGTCCACTGTAAAAAGAAATCTGTCTAATCTAGAGCAAATTGGACTAGCTTGGAGGTTGGACCAGGTAAAATTATTATGTAGAAGGGGTAAATCCTTGACATTAAAGGTATTTATGAAATGATTAAATTTTCTCATGCTTGTGGTGATTGATACCTTGTCTCCTGTTATTTGTTTCTTCAATGAACCTGATTACATTGAAATCTCCACCAATGCACCAGAGCCCCTCCCACAAACCTCGTATGTCACTCAATCCATCCCACATTTCATTCCTTTCTCTATACCTGTTCGAGTCATATGGATTTGTTAGTATCCACTCAAAACCTTCCTCCGCTTGTTGGAACTTTATAGATATCATAAATTTACCTACAAGTTCTTCACTTCCATCAATCTCCTCTTTCCATAAAGTTACCATTGCCCTCTAAAGACTCCCAAGATGGCACCATTGTCCAATTTACTCCCCTAGCTTTCCACACACTTCTTACCCATCTTCTATCAAATTGGCAACTTGGTTTCCTGAAGGATGACTATGTCAGGATTCTCCTTTCTTGCCACTTCCTTAATATGAAGAATCCATGCCATTTTGTTAAAACCAATGGCATTAGGTGTCATATTGTCTCTTAGGTGGTTGCCTTTTGAACTAGGCAATTACCATTGTTGATGCAAAGAATGGGCTGAGGACAACTCTGTAGCTTCTCTTCCAGGATGAGCTGGCAGATGGAAGAGTCTGAGGGCTGCTGAGGCTGAGGACCAATGGAGTCCAAGGAGTGCTAAGGCCGAGGACCAACGGAGTTCGAGGGGTGCTGAGGCCGAGGACTGGTGGAGTTCGAGGGGTGCTGAGGCTGAGGACCAATGGAGTCCGTTCTGTAGGGAAGGGAACATTAGAGACCCTAGGCTGATGCCCGAGGCTGGGACTCCGACGGTCAAGTTAGTAGGAGTGTGGCAAAGAGGGCGGACGAGGCTTGAGTTGAGTAGCTCAGACGAGGTCGCCAAAAAGTTGGAGAGCTTGGAGTAGCAGGTTTCCAGCCCAGATTTCAGATGCTTACCTTGAGGGGGGTTAGCTCCTATTTATACTTGAGACCGCCTGGAGGTAGACGGATGCGGATGGTCTGGATGTGATCTGGCCCTGGGAGCGCGACACTCTGAGGTCGCCACGTGTGGTCGTGCCATTGGTCCCGCATTGCGCACCGCCCTCAGCCGCGTGTCTGTGTGCTACTGGCCTGCCTAAAGCGTCTGCATCAACCATATTTGTATAATTTGAGATGTCTAAGTAAGGCAACCACTCCAAAGTGCCTTATTGCCTAGATGTCACCTTAACAAGTTTGTTTTACAATGTATATAAAGATGTGTGGTTATGATTAATGCATGCATACATAATTTAACTACATGTATATACAATTATATGTTTCCATTAAAAAGTTGTAGGTTATAAATTGTAGGAAAATCATGTTTAGGTATTTCTTTAGGAAAACACTGTTACCAATATCTAATTTCAGTATGCTCAATCTGATTAGTCAAATTCAAATACAACTTGCATCTTGGTCATCTTTTTCTCACCAAATCATGCAAGTTCTTTAGTGATTTTTCATCTTAATTATCAAAAAAGAAAGAAATTCAAATTTATTTCTCATTTTCCTCTAAAAATATATGGGCTTCACTTTATTCCTTTTAGTGTTCTTAATACTTGCCTTTCTATTTTCTTTCTTTGGTCCCACCATCCCAGGCCTATGATTTCACCCAATTGATCAGTTCATTTTACTTCAAGAAATATTCCAACCTTACAAGAATCCAACAGATTGAGTGGAACAATCGGTAAGCATATATCACTGCTATTTTCAATTAGTTTCTTCTAGTGTTCATCCTATTTCTTATTTCTGTTTTAATTGTTCATGCAGGGGTATCTCTACTATTCATGCCATATTTATTACAGCTATGTCATTATACCTAGTGTTCTTCTCTGATCTCTTTTCTGACCATTACTTTTCTGGCCTTGTTACATTCCGAAGTTCGCCATTGTCTACTTTTGCATTGGGGGTAAGGACTTTTTTTAGATAGAATTCTGGCCTGATTTTAATGTATCTGATAATATTGCACTTTTCTATTTGCGTGTTTTTCTAAGCAAATAAATGCAATTTGACATGCTGAGTGTCTCCAAACAACTTGTCAGTGTAATCCAAACCTGTAATAAGAAATTAGGAACCAAATACCTTTATAACTTGTCACCTTTATAGCATCTTTGAAGGTGGTGCCAGAAAGGGATTTATGGCATTGTTTAGAAATAAATGAAGCATGGTTGGATGTCCTGCATGTTTTTCTAACTTTGTTGAACTTTTTTCTTTTGGGGTATGATATGATGAACATGTATGCATTCTTAAAGGAGCAGGACAGGGGTGAGAATTGAAGTTCATGTATGCATGTAAATGTATTTACTTCTAATTGATATTCGTCCTAAGAGAACTTACAAGGTTCTTGTAATATGTTCTTAGCTTTTTTTTGGTCGAAGTAATATGTTCTTATCTGATATAAGTTAAAAGTTACATTCCTTTTCAATATTGCTTATTACCATTTCTAAATGCTTATTTTTGTGTTGTATTATGTCATTATGTGTTAGGTGATCTTTAGTAACTGCTAAAATATACACTGAAAGCATATTGCAGAAAAGATTCCAAACTTGAAAGCAGAATCCAGGGATGTTGGTGGTGAAAGATAAAACTTTAGGTGTAAAATAATCATGCCAATACATAGGCTTCATCATTCAGCAAACAAATATGTAGCAGGGTTATAGAACTGCTGAATGGGTCATTTTTAAACGTGGAACCTTTTCACCATTCTGCTTTCAGCACTGATTTTGTTTTTATTTTTTTGACCATGTTCTATTTTGTATTGGCCTTGTCATTTTATATCATGCAAGAACTCCAGCATTTATTACAACAGTGACTTTTTGGCAGATTTCTGTTGGTTACTTCATTGCAGACCTTGGAATGATACTTTGGCTATATCCTTCCCTTGGTGGAACAGAATATGTAAGTTCATGTTAACTGAAGGGTAGCTTGTTGACTTTAAGATATCTTTTCCCTTTCACATCAGATGGTGACAAGGTAAAAATGGAACAAAGAAAGTAAATAATTGAAGTTTTCCAAGTACCAAATGCTTGACATTGAAATTGTGCATGACCTGCAAAGTGATAGCATTCGTGTTTTCAGGTTGTCCATCATCTTCTATCTGTAGTTGCAGTAGCATACTCTATGTTGTCCGGGGAGGGGCAGCTTTACACTTACATGGTTCTCATTTCCGAGATGACAACTCCTGGAATCAATTTGAGATGGTAATTTGGATGAATACATGCAAGATTCCTGAGTTTTCATGTTTCTCATCTTATAAATTCTGATGTTTTTTCAAATATATAAAGGGAATGGTTTGCTAATTGGGTCATCTAGCGTGCTTCCCTAAATGAACTTGGAATCTTCCATGTGGCAACTAGGTTTAGAGTTCAGGAGGAATTTATCCATTACTCGTCCCACCTTTGTTCATGAAAAAGATTTGGCCCTAAAATACCTTGTAATGTATTCAATTCAAAGTAGATTCTATTTTATGACAACTTTTTATATTCAAAGCCTACAGGTTTCTTACCCAGGTTGTTTAGTGAACTCTCCTAGGCTAAATTACCTATGATTCTTCCATGTGACAATTATATAGTTCAAAAGGAGTCCCTGTATCTCTGCTCCTCTCCTTACTTCATTAGGAGACCTCCCATAGTAAAAGATTTAAGGAATGGATAATCATTACTGATAGGGAAAACTCAACAAGGGTGATATGGACTGGGTTTCAAGATGTGATCAATCCAATGGATCCCCTATTTGATAATAGATGGTTTAGATTGGCTATAAGATCCCTGACTTGGTAGAAATAAGTGGGGTTGTTTAGGGAAGTTTCTAGTTGATCCAATTAGGGATTCCATAGAAAAAATAGACATGCAACACATCTCTGAGTAGGCTTTAGTTTTACTGATTTGGGTGTGTGGATTTGTGAAGGTATCTGGATACTGCTGGACTGAAGAAGTCCAATATTTATCTCATTAATGGGGTTGCAATGTTTTTTGTGTGGTTGGTAAGTTAAATATTGTAGTTTATCTTATAAAATTTACATAAGCGAAGGGATACAGTACATAGATGAGATATGCCCTGCACTTTTTGCTCCTTCTAGATGCTTTCTGAGACGAATCAGTGGCATGCAGGTTGCACGGATATTTCTCTTCATCTACCTATTCTACCATGTTTACTTGCACTATGATCAGGTACCTAACATCCACAAATTCTCTCTCTCTCTAAATAACAAACTAAAAGTCTAGGAGCCTGTCCGGTACTAGAACTAAGATGACTTATCAAGCTTCGCTTTATGAAGGGATTTCATAGAATTTAATAGATTACATATGAAAGCATATGTAATGTAGTACATTTCAAACTGCCTAATTCTTTTTCTTATATTAGGTAATTTTTTATGGTAGACATGCTCGGTCTGTTAAGAGAACTTTGAAGACGTCAAAAGCTAATTTTAAATTAATTGCATGTGGCAAGACTTTTTTGCCATTGCAAGACAAATATGAAAGCATCAGTTTTTGTCACTAAGCCAATCTGGTTACATGCATCTTGTTGATTTCTTAAATGACAGGTCAAACAGTTGCATACACATGGCCGTATATTGGTCATTGTGGTGCCCTCTGTGCTAGCTATCATGAACTTGATGTGGTTTGTGAAGATCATCAGAGGAATGAAGAGGACATTAGCAAAGAGGCAGTAAAGGATATATACATACACTTGCATATTCTTACCATGTATCTACTCTGGGTGTATTGATCTGTGCATTCGCCTCTTTCTGCTTACTGTGTAAATGTTTAGAGGGAGAAAAAGAAACAGAAAGGGAAAAAAAAGCAAGCTGACTGAAGCTTCTTATCCAATGGGAATCCAAATGTTGTAAATTGATTGAATCCCATAGAACTTTCTATTCACAAATATCTATGATGTTGAAACTGATAGGATCAACTGCTTTGTTGGTTGGCATGTTCATTTTGTTTTCTTGTGTACACCAAATCTATTAGGGAGGAAAATGCAAATGAAAATTTCTGTAAGTTCAATTCATGGTTGTCCCTGTCCAATCAAATTTTAGATCTTTGGCATTGTTGCTCTATTGCCTGTGAGGTAGTTCTTAGTGTCTCTTGCCTTGAAGTTTAAAATGGAATAGTCACCATAAAGGGTATTATGGTATAGCAGTTTTTAATCTTAAACTGCTTTACAAAACAACTTTTGGGAGTTGAAGAGGAGATTGATCATGCATGAACTTCGTCGTATTAGTTTTTAAAATGACAAGCATGTTCTCAAGGTTCAAAATATCACGCCGATGCGCCGGTAGGGGTGTATCGGGCGATATCGATACTTTTTAATTTTTTTTTTCAAAATTGGTTCAGGACTGGTTTAAGGCTCCTCCACCTCCTGAACTGGCGATGCACCCTTTGTAGGGGCGTATCGAGGAGCAAGGTTCAAAATTTCGTCACATATCGGCCCGTATCGTTCTAGCAAGTTTTTGGCATCGCCACCTCCTGAACTGGCGATGCACCCTGTGTCGTGCCCATATCGTTGAGTACCAGTGCGCTTTGGCACTATATTGGCCGATGCGCTATCGATACGGTAACGTATCGGTCGATACAATACGATTTTACTGTGGCAGAAATGCAAATAAAACTCCTTTCGAAAGAGGGCTTCTAAACCCATTTTAGAAGCCGTCTTTCTTTCCCAAACCCTTCAAAAAGTTTTTTAACCTTTTTAAAGACTCAAATCTTGTAAAAGTTTGCCAAAACATCTATAAATTTGTAAGATTCAACAAGTTTTTCAAAGTTGTGAAAAAAGGAGTGAAATTAAATGTTTTTTCAAATTTCTTTTACATTTTCAGCCAATGTAGAAAAGATAAGGGGGAAAGAAGGTGGTTTGCCCCCTACCCCTTCGACAAGACCCCCCTTTTAGCAACTATTATGCATTTTTTATTTTTCTTAGTATAAAAGTTTTTTATTAAAGATAAAGAAAAAAAAAATGAAATCCTCCCTTCCTCTTTCCTCCTTTTGAGGAAGCTTATGCATTTTGAACTATGCCTCACGCCTCTAGGTAGTGGAATGCCTTTGTGTTTTAAAACATTGATATTTATTTATTTATTTTTAATTTTTAGAATGAAATATGCAAAATAATTATTTCATCTATTATGTCCATAAATCCATTCATTTTTTTTACATATTTACTTTTCTAAATTTTAATTTAATTTTTAGAATAAAACATGCAAAATAATTATTTGAATAAAAATAAATGATTATTTAATTTTTAGAAGATTAGAATAAAACATGCAAAATAATTACTTGATCTATTATGTCCATAATTAGATAGTATGTTTCTATTCCCAACTTCCCATTTATTGATTATAATATGTTTTTTTCATAAAACTCACCAAAATGTGTTATTTTTATGCATAAATAGCTCATTTATGTCTTATATTTATGATTTATTAGAGTATTTATAGCATTTCCATGTGTTTCCATGTGTATCCAAGGCATATCCCGATATGGACCGAACCTTGCATGTCCTCAAAGGGGTCCTTAATGAAATCTTGTTTTCGTATCACTGTTCAGAATTCATGCTTGGTTGCTTTTAATTCTCCTTGTAAAAAAGACATGTATGTAATGTGATTTGAACCTTCGCCAATCACTTGTGTAAAGAACAATCACTATAACCATTATACCATGACCAATTTATTTATTTTAAAGGAATTAGTTTTTTTATGTTAAGTATATAAACTAAGTTGTTATAAGATTAATGGGTTGGGTGGGTTGGATTGGATCAATGCGGGTTTGGGTTGAACTTGACTCATTTAACTTTATCTAACTGGGTCATTAATGGGTTGACGGGCTAGATGGATTGGGTTGAAGTTCAACCCAAACCAAACCCAATCCAACCCGCCCAATTGCCACCACTAAATATAGTGATAACTCAAGAACATTTTACATTCAATGTGCAAGAAGAAAGGGAAAACCTCATATTTTGTCTTAAAGCTATATCTTTCGAAGGCATATGATAGAGTAGAATGGCCATTCCACAATAGGTACTACTTGAAACCTCGAGTGGCTGTACTTGTAAATGGTGTTTGGGCAAACCTTTCACTCCTACATATGGACTCTGGCCAGATTATCCTCTCTCTCCTTATCTGGCCAGATTATATCGAAGTGTTGTCCATCTCTTTATGTCACAGTAGGATGCCAATGTTCTTCATGGGTTCCCTTTTGGCCCTTACAGGTGTTAAGATTAGTCATCTATTTGTTTGTTGATGACCTATTGTTATGCAAGTGGAATTGCAGTTGCAGTTGTTTCTGGAAGATGTTGTATGGCTGAGATTTCTTATCTGTAGGAGCAATTGCAGTTGTTTTGTAAGTGGTCTGTGGTCGGGCCAGCAAATCAATTATAGCAAATCATCCATTCGCTAGTAAGAAAATCTACAGGCTAGTGTGCCATCGTAATTCCACCTATTTGAGTGCTCAACTTAATTATGAATAAAAGGGAAGTGTACTTCGGTGGTCCTATGTTCTTTCACCGCTTTAAAATTAAGAGTTGGAAGGTGCAACAGAAACTAGTTACTTGAAGGCTAAAACACTGTTAAGATTAGTGTATCACATGTACACACAATTACTTCCACAATCTTTTTTTTTTAGGGAAAATTCTTGATTAGTATCCTTTATTTTGGGTTTAGTGTCAGTTAGATTCCTAAATTTTAAAACCGGACAATTCAGTATCTGAATTTTCAAAACGTATCAATTTAATACTTATCGTTAACCAATTGTTAAGTGGCATTTGAAAAAACACAAATGCCCTTTAAATGTTGTCTAATTTTCTTTATCAACTATTCAAATCTTGACAAAAAATGAACAGTCTCAAATCTTTGCCTCTTTAACTGAGATGTGACCTCAATTTTCTTGAATAGAAGAGGCAAGGATTTGAAACTGTTCATTTTTTATCAATGTTTTGATGGTTGATTAAGAAAATTAGATGGCACTCAAAAGGCATTTGTGTCTTTTCAAATACAACTTAACAGTTAGTTTACATATGATTAACTGTAGGTACTAAATTGTCATACTTTAAAAATTGGGAGACCAAAAGTGGTACTAGGCAAAGTACAAGGTATTAATCGGGTTCAGTCCAAGTAGGTCTAAGCCGCTCAAGTCCAAATAGGACCAGACCGAAATCATCTATTTGGGTCCATGTTTGAATTGAAAGGATTTGGTGTGGTTGAACCTTTCATGCTCAAACTAGACTGGACAACCTAAACCAAATCAAGTTGAATTGATCATGTTTGGGCTGCTTTATGTTAGCTACTTGGATCCGAGTTAAGTTGGGTCAAAAACAGGAATGAAATAGATCATTTGTCATTGTTTGAGTAACCTTGGGTCAGGCATAGTTGGGGCACCTAGATCCGAATTAGACCATGTTGGTCCGAACTAAATCGAGTTAAACAGATGCAAGTTGATTCAAATTGGGGCAGTTGAACTATTTAATCTCGAATTGGGCCCGATTGACCCAAATCGAGTTGGTCTAGACTAGACTACCTAGTTGTGTTTGGGTTTATTCGGGTTGGGTATAGTTGGGCCATTCAAGACTGAATTAAGTCCGACCAGATTGGACCGTTGGACCAGTTGGTTCGGTTTGGATTGATTTTGGCCAAATATGGGTGAACCATAGTGATCCAAACCAAATTAAGACATATTAACCCATTTGACCAAGTTTGGGTGCATGTCCATATGGGTGAATTGTGTTGAATAAAACAAAAAAAATTTTAGTCCATAATTATTTTCAATAATTAATTAAAAATTAATGCACTAATTATGAATTGTTTGACTTGAATAAAAAATATAAAGAAAAAATGGGTAGGCAATTCACACTTGCATTATTAGCGGTTAACCCAATGGATACCCACAACACAACCCATCCCAACCTATTTAGATTGACCCAATGGATGACTCAACCCATTTGCAACCCATTAAGTAAATGGGAAGGTTGGACATGTTAGATAATGGGTGGGTTCATCAACAGCAATGGCAGCTCCCACTTGTAATTGCTATTTCCAAGATTCAAAAAAAAAAAAACCCTAGTTCTATGGAAGCCATTTTCGGTTCATTTCTTTATAAAGAAAAGTCATTCTATTAGTTTATTTTATGAATAATATAAATAATTTGATCATTTTCAATTTAATTTATTAAAACAATCAACATATGGATTAAATTCAAATCCATATAAATAGGTGTGGACACGAACCAAGATTTTCATGCGATGTTCAAGCTCAACTCAGTTCGGTCTAAACTGAGCTTTGAACCAAGTTCATAGACTCGTTTACACTCGGTTCATGAAGCACATGAGCCCAATCGAGTTTAATTATATTATATAATATTTATAATTTTATATGTATAGTTTTTATTTTTTATATGAAACTTGGCTCACTATCGAGCTTGAGCCAATCTGAGTTTAAGCATATATAAGATTTTTAGTTGAACCAAATTTAAGCTCATGTTTCTAGATCGAGTCGAGGTTAAGTTCAAATTCAACTCATATTTTTCTATCGAACCGAGCTCGAATAGCCAATATTCAACTTGACTCGGCTTAAATCCACCCCTACATATAAAATCCACCAATAAGATTGAATCAGAGTCCAAAAATTAACCAATTAAATTTGGATATAGGTATTATCCCATTCTATCTGATCTCTTTGTAGCCTCTACAATATTGCCATTCATCGGTGCTACTTTGTTAGCCATTTTCAGTTTCGATGACTCTTCCTGAATCCTAATGTCTTTAGTTGATTTATGGAAATACTACTCGTGCAACGGAGAAGAGAACATTTCCTCTTTATCAAAATGAAGATTCCCTTTTGTGATGGGAGATGGGCTTGACTGTACATAATGAGCATGGAACTCCCTTACATGATCAGGCCACTATAGAAGATAAGGCCTGAGAAAACACAATACTTTATCTTAGCTTTCATGGGCTCTCCAAGTCAGAACCATAAGAACTAAAAACACCACATCTGGTTCTAAGTCCAACCCATGGAGAACTAT